AGTTATTGTCGACGTTATATCGTCTATTCCCTTTGTTGCGATATCACGCCAACAAATTGTCTCTCGAGAAATGAAATCTTTTTAATATTTGATCGTTTTGCGTGTACTCGACGTCTGCGCCAACGTTCGTAAACAACGTATTACGTAATAATGTTCTTATATCTCGCTAATATATTTTTAGTATGAGAATTTAACGGAACATGGGTATATTGAAATATTTGATTCTTTGCCTTTGTGATGTGTTTTTTGATCTAAACGATTGGCAATCATGAGCCGCTCGTTATGAATGTTAAATTGAAATTCTGATCTACAAAGGTTACCGAAATTCGATATTGTATGAGCACTATAAATATATGAAAATAATACCTATTTTATAGGCTTTAGTAACATTTTTTATGATCATCGTCTACGTGAAATTGCACTGAATAATTGTATTTATGGTGTTTTCTTTTCTCCAGTGTCACAAACATAACAAAAATTTGTTTTTTATTTCGTCTGGCCCAGTCATTATTTCTAGGATTCTATTTCGTCTTGAATTGCGTGAAAATAGTTTTGTTTGTCAGGACAAACACCTTAAGAAAGCAATTCAATTTAGTTCAGCAGTGTTTTATATAAAACTACTAAGATCTAAAAAACAAAAACTAATTCAATTGCCAAAAAAATATATTTCCCAATGGGCCTTTAGAAAATTATTGGCAAGGGTCGGTAGTGAGTTAAACGGATTTTTTCCAAGTCCCGAGGGCATCATTCGACTGGTTAAATCAACATTTTAACTGGAATGTATGTACGCGTATTTCGGTTTAAAACAAGAGAGCAAATATATATATTTTTTAATTGAAACTGTAACAGGATGCTTGTTCTCTATTTGTTAGCGAATTCGAAACTTTTCTCGTTAAAATAACAAGCCTGGTAAAATGCTGTCCATTATATTACACATGTTTAGGAACGTACTGCCTCGTTCACTCAATTTTCGTACGTGTGACTGTAGAAAAAAGGGTGCAATTTCAGATGGACCACTTTGTCTATCTACCTATTATTATCTTTGGTGTTATTTTGTACGCATTTAATAGTACGGAATTAGAATTTCATCAAATTTTTATAAATCTTGAATACACCATAACTGTTTGTTACCTATATATTTAAAAATTAAACTAGAACAAACACATTTACACACATCAGTTTATAGACTCAGTGATTTATGTTGAGTCCCCCATTACATTGTTATCTTGCCGTAAATAAATACGTATAAATCAATCAGCCGTATCACTTGCCAGAATTAAAATACTGATGTCATTGAACTTTGAAAATAGTGTGGTGTGTTATTTATATGTATGTTTTGTATTTACGTTATGTATGTTAATATATGGCTTGTCTTAGTTTAGAGGTTGCGAGTGCGACTATTAAGTGTTTGATCAAAGCGTGTATAAATTGGTTTAATTTAAAAAAAAACCAGCAAACAGCACGATAGTCGCCGCGTCGCGAGTCGCGAAATGCTGCTCATGAATGTGAGCCTCTAGTATGGCTTGAAACTAGTCGAGTTCCTCGTCAAATAATTACGTGAGTAAGCCGAAAACATAATAATATAATCACCAGCAACTCGACTTCTTACTTATAACAGACTAAATATAGATACAATTGTACAATATTTGAGTAATTGTTACCTAACCGCTTTATAAATTGATCAATTTAAAACACCTTCGAACAAATCAAACCTAGTAGGACCAACTAACCTACTGGCAGTACGACCGATTGAATATGAGCCACTAGCATGGCTTGAAAATAGTCGAGTTAATAATTAAATCAAATCTACTTTTAACTCGTCGAGTACCGTCATTATAGACACAATTATAGAACAATAGGTTGCGGTCACCGGTGACCGCTTGGTGTTTGACAGTTTAATAGAAGACGTTTACAATATGACATACAAATCAATGCTCTGAAATATTTTTTCCTTCTTCATTCAATAACTAAAAATAATGGTTTACTCACGTAAATATACTGAGAAAAGCTTAACTAGTTTCGAGTCACAGATACATATACATGACAATTCACATACACATGACATCCAGACCCGAAACAACAATCTGTGGATCACACAAAGAGTTATTCTGTGCGGGAATCCAACCCGCGACAAGTTGCGCAACAGCCTCTTGCCCAGCCACCGCGCCAACCGTACAGTCAAATTTTAGGAAAAACATTAAACATTTATTATTCTGAGAGCAGATTAGTATCTATTTACTAGTACTGACTATCTTAATTAGTATTTGATTCGTTAGTAAACGAACAAAGCAGAATTAAAAATCAACTGCTCAAAAGTGTTTATTTCATCTATTCTATGTATATATTATAATAATAATAATAATAATAATAAGGAGCTCCACGGACGCTTCTTCCGGGCCCTTCATGGGCCCAATGTAGATTTTCTAGCGTCCGTATCTTGGCTACGATTCAGTAATCTCTTTGGAGAAACTGAAGGATTTGTCTGTGCAATAATGGACGAAGTTATCCTTACGAATAACTATCGGAAATATATAATTAAGGATGGGACGGTTGACATATGTCGGGCATGTCATAGTCCTGGTGAATCCATTAGACATATAATTTCTGGTTGTGGTCGTTTGGCTAACAGTGAATATTTGCATAGGCATAATCAAGTAGCCAAGATTATCCATCAGCAACTTGCTTTACACTATCGACTTGTTGAATCTGAGGTACCGTACTACAAGTATGTGCCCGACCCAGTTCTGGAAAATGACCATATCACATTGTACTGGGACCGGTCTATCATTACTGACAGGACTATTGTAGCCAATAAACCTGACATAGTGGTGATAGACCGACAAGTACGCCGCACGATGATAATCGATGTCACCATTCCCCATGACGAGAACCTCGTGAAAGCTGAGAAAGATAAACAAATAAAATATCTAGACTTAGCTCACGAGGTTGTCGACATGTGGAGTGTGGATTCGGCTATCATTGTGCCGATAGTCGTGTCGGCCAATGGGTTAATCCCTAAAAGCCTCGACATCCATCTTAGGAGGCTGGCGTTAGGTGGATGGATCAAGGGCCTGATACAGAAGGCAGTTCTCCTAGAAACGGCACGTATCGTGAGGAGGTTTCTGTCTCTGGAGCCCTAACCACCGGTAGCTTGGACCATGCTCCCGCTACTGGTCGGCTCCTATTTTTTATATTTTTAAATATTATTTTTATTCTATAAGTAGTGTTTAAAAATGTAATTTATAGAGAATTTTAAATAAATATATGTAAATAATAATAAATTTATTCAATATTCAAAAAATGTAAAATACAAAACATATCGTAAATACGTACAATTGTCCTCACAATGTTAAATGCCTATTCGATACCTATAACAGTTCTATGATTATACAATGTACTCTAACGTTAGAATCATCATAATATACACACCCAATATACAACACAATCACATGCATTATCGTCTATCGGTTAATGAACAGCACATTTATTTGCATTTAGTTAACTCAAATTAATGAACACACATCACTATATCTGCATAGAACTAATCAAGTATCAGATTATTCATGTATCTGTCTGCCATGTAAAATACTTTCCAATAGCCCACCTAAAGGTGGTGGCCGGTTATTTAAAATCGATTAAAGTTTAAAATCGCTTACCTACCTATGTACGATGGTGGTTAAATGATCACTACTAATGTGTCACAATTCCTTCGTGTTCCAAGGAGAACGTGGTTATTGGTTTCCATTGTCATATCCGACATACGTCTCCTACCTATATATTTTTTTTTAAGGGCCAGAAGTCGTTGAATGACTGCTCCCGCCTGGGTGAAGCGGGAGGGAGTGTCAGACTCTTACTGACTAAAAACCACCCCGTTCCTGCTCCTGCACTTCGAGCCGGAGCCCCGGTAACCCGTTAGGTTCTCCGCGACTCCTACCTATAATAGGCTCTCACTATAGTACCTAATGAAATGTTTAAAAAAATATACGGTAACTAGTAGTTAGATTATAAATGGTACAATTTTTCCGTCGGATTGTTTTGACACAACTGATCTCCAAACCCCAAAAATTAAATGCGTTTTAAAGGTTTCCTATCGGAAAACGTACATTTGTATCAACAACAACAGATTTATTACAGTTAGAAGGATCAAAATACCATTAAAATCTCCAAATACGTCCAAGAATATTTTTGAAAACCTAAGTTTTGTTGACAGAAGCTCATTGCAATGATAAAAATAGACCATTAAACAAGACCAGCCAATTAAACCAGATCAAACTGGCTTCTAAGATTATTTCTATGTATTTGTGGTTTTGTACTATAGCCTCTATTTACACAGCAAACGTTTTAGCGTCTAACTTGAGATTTAATAAGTACTATATATTTACCCTCTGATTAAAATTAATTGAGCATATCATGTGTGTGAGTTCCACATTCCTACATAAAAGACGTATAGAACATACCGTATTGTACGCGAAGTTAATTATCATCGTCGTAATTGTATAATTATGATTATTATGTTTTGATGCGTGGGTGGGTAGACTCATTACTACACACATACCTACTTTCATTCAGACTCTCTGTTTAAAACTTATCAGTATTAACCCAGACAGGTGACCCATATCGAAGTAATTCTATCGCCGGGAAAACCTAATTACTTTTTGGTCGGTCTGACGATCGAACCCATGACCTAAATACCGCGGCGGCAGCAGTTACCGCTCCGTCCAATAATGCGGCCCCATAACGTCGGAACAATTATTTAATTAAATATCTCTCTAGTAGATAAGAACATTGAATTACTGCAATCAAAACACTTCCATTCCTGTTTAATATTTATGTTACACATGAAACGATGATAGTGACGGCGTATTTGTTATCTGTAGCACGCTCCTTGAATACTGAGACCACATTACAACTCCATCAAATAATAATCATATAAAAGTGTAATCGTGCTGTGTACTCTACTCTATCTACATGATAACATGACCAAAGGTGTCTCTTTGCAGGTTGCACGGACATCAAGGCTTAAATGGAGCGAAGGAAATTAAATTAAAAACTAAAGTCCCTTGCACGATACGCAAATACTCGCACCGACTGCCGATGTTTGCTCTCGGAACGTTATCACTTGATAAGTTAGAACACAAGCCGCGAGCAAACAACGTTATCATGGTAACGTTCTTACCGGAGACTTGGAGCAGCTCAGACTCCGCTCCGCTCGGCCGCGCCGAACACCACACCTGAGGCCACACTCGCTGCTTGCTCCCTCGCCAGCGGATGGCGCGATGGAAGTTGGACACAGATAAACCGGTGAAAGTGACAATTGATGTGACTGTTCAGTGTGATTAGTGTAAATAGATAAACCAAAGAGCAAACCAAAGCTAATTAGCTCAAATTCCTAGTCGAAAGAGATTTTACGTCGTCAAACTGGAGGAGCTAAAGACTTTAGATACGGACCTTGTAGACAATGTCAGTGCAAAGGTGGAGAAGTGCCTGGCGCAGAACGAGGGGCTGGCGGAGGAGGAGTTCTGCCCCGCGTACTACGACGGGCTGCTGTGCTGGGACGCGACGCCCTGGAACACGTTGGCGGTGCAGCGCTGCTTCAGCGAGTTCCACGGCGTCCAGTACGATGACACACGTAAGTTAATCTCTAATCCTTTTATTACGCCGCTCTTAATGATATATGTAAACAATGCTGTCACGTGGCGTCGATGGATCTGGTGAAGGATTTTGTTGAAAATCTCTAAATTGTGAGCCGAATTTTTGTGAAAGGAAAATTACCAGTTCGTATGTTAGGCTGTAGTGTATGTTTGTATATGTACATATAACGTCAATTTATAACTTATCTCACTCTATTTTTATGCACTGGGTATCAAAGAAGTTTTAATTTTTTTTACCTGGGTATATGAATAATTATACCTTTCTTTCGGCTCGTTTATAAAGGCTTATTATCTTTCATATATATACAAATCTTTTATATGAAGATAGTTATTTACTATTGTTTGAATTGGAGATTCATTTTAACAAAGGATTAAAAAGTTTTCTCAAATTAAATTATTGGTCGCACTCAATAAGGGTCGAGCGTATTGCCCATTATCTTGTTTCATTGTTAACTCCAAGGTTATTATATAATGGAAACCAAATTTTCTTAATACTAAAAAGAAAAGCCTCAGTTGTTCCTTGTACCACGGGATTTCAGATTCGACTGTCAGGTCAGGCGAAACATATTAGGGGATAACTTTTCGGGATTTTTAGCTATATTATGGAGTATAGTATTTATGTCAGATGAAAATGTTTATTAGAAAAGTTGCGTAAAGCGGATCATAGGTACCTACGTATGTTTGGAAAAAGAGGCAAGATGTAAAAAATAATTAAAAAAAATACTTTAACACTTCAGTATTAGTGTGTCAACAAACATAAAACATTAAAAATATAAACATCATCAAAGAATCACAACACGAGCAAATATAAACTAAGAAAAAAAGAACAATTGGAGCTCCCATTCCGTCTCTATAATTGCTACAAAATGCTTTCAAGGAGTATCATTGTGAAGCGCACTAAAATATCTTTAAAACAAAAGCGTTACAAAAAATATCGTTTACACCAGTATCATTGTGAAAACAGATACTTTTGTAGCAACCCTAGTGTTAAATGCAACGATAATAACTGCCGCGTTTGAGTGCAGCTCTACGTTCGTAAGTGAGTAGGGATGTGCTTTATAGCAGTGGGAGTTTCTTTGAACTGTGATCAATTTAGCTATTATTTAGTTTTCAAGGTAGGACAATGTATGAACTCGTTATTATATGATGTGTTTTTATTTTTTTTACTATAGATATAATATCCAATTGATATAATTACACACTTCATTAAAACAGTGAACTCATTTTTGCAAATAGGCTACAAATCAGCAACGTTACACGTCAACATTAAAAAAAAATAGATTTCCTAACTCTAAGAAGAAATGCCGAAAAAAATTCAGCTCTTTAAACCATTTTTAAATAGAATTAAAGGATGTGTGTGGAATGAAAACTAAAAGATAATCTTTAAGAGTCGAGTAAAGAAAAAGTAAAACGTTTATTTTCATCTCGTGTGAGAAACGAATTCCTGAAATATTGTTGCGGCCATACTCTTGACACAATCCTAAGAAAAAATACAAAAACACTTAAAACTTCTCAACGTACACCAGAAAGAAAAAGATAAAAGCATTTGAGATATTAAAAAAAAGCGTAATCTCGCAGAAAATCCATCCATCTCGTTTTCTGAATAATATTGTTCAAACAAGTCGCTAGCAAATCCTCTTTGATAATCGCTTCAAATATTTCGTGCACGAATGCATCGGGAATATGATTTTATTTATTGGATATTTGGAATGTGTTATTTACACTTCTGTTACGAACACACATGTTTACCCTTTCCTCCCCTGTCTTTTCTTAAAGGAAGGATTCAGTTTATGTGATATGTATGTGTGTGTGTGTGTGTGTGAGTGTGTGTGTGCAAGAAACAAATTAAGATTTGAGTGTGATCAAAGTATTTATGTAATAACTTCTAATCGTGAGACATACTAAATTAACTCGTCGAGTACCGGTTTTGTAGACACAATTATAGAACAATAGGTTGCGGTCACCGGTGACCGCTTGGTGTTTGACAGTTTAATGATTATGTTTTTTCGGCTTACTCAGGTAGGTAATTATTTGACGAGAAACTCGACTAGATTCAAGCCATGCTAAAGGCTACTACAGTAGCAGCGCGACATGTCTAGTATGGCTTGAACTAGTCGAGTTCCTCGTCAAATAATTACGTGAGTAAGCCTAAAAACACAATAATCAAATTATTATAAAGTTTCTCAATATAATTTTGATAAAAGTGTCATCATAACGCATTTTATTCCTACGTGATGATGGTAATTTTGAACTTAATTATTATCATGAGAATATTGTTAATCTTTTGACCATTACGACTTACTGATATGGTCGATAACGACAACTCTTGATTGAATCTTGAATCCTAATAATTTGTGATACAGAGAACGCATCACGGATGTGCTTGGACGGCGTGTGGCACAACTACTCAAACTACGCGAACTGCACAGAACGCATGACCAACGTGTCGCCGACTGACGTCACCAGCCTCATCTACCTCGCCGGCTACTCGCTCAGCCTCGCCGTGCTGTCGCTCGCCGTCTTCGTCTTCCTTTATTTCAAGTAAGTTAAATGTAATATATGGATCTATAAATAAAAAAAAGTCTGTCGTCAAGTCTTGTTTATCAGTTTGCGATAAAACTACTGAATGAATTTTCATACGGTGGTTCATGGCAGCGCAAAACCTCAACTGCAGCACGGAGCTATCATTTTACCTTTAAAAAAGCTTTAATGTCATCCTTTCCTGATCCTTAAACATATTTTTCCCCGTTATACCTCTATAATCTCTCTCCTACAATGAAACACCGCAATGTCCAGTATACTCTCTACACTGTTAATCACATTCTTTAATTTTTCATATTTAATTAAATCTATTTATATGTATACCTTATTCCAAGATATATACAATAAACTGTTTAGGTACTTGTATAATAGTTTGATAGAAATCAAATAGGCCAACAAGACAGCCAAGATATTATATTCAAAACGTAAATCGAAACCTTAGTCAGAAGCTTAGAATTTAATCCTGACATCATGTAGATTATCGATGAACTAGATAAAGATTAAGTAGGTCGCTGAACTCAGATCAGAACATGTGATTAACTACATAATATGTTTATTTGCAAATAAAAATCAATCACGGATCTGTCAAAAGGATACTATTATTGTACTGATGATAAATGTAAGGGAATGACTTCGCATAGACTACACTTAATAAATCAAATAGGTGGGTACTCTTTTGGTAAATAAATACCAAACATAAAATGATCAAAAGTGACTTATGGTTTAGGTCATATGAAATTATGAATGGGACAGATTTTTGCGTTAAACAGAGTATAATAATGATGATTCTAGGATTTTGTTTCCTACATAATTTACCGACTAAACATTTTGATAAAGAATACAAAAGTAATAAAAAAAAATACAATACCATTCATAAAAGTGTAGATAATTTATTACACGTTGTGGATGTGGACTGATAATGTCACATTAGACGAGCTCCTTTTGCGAAACTGCTGAATCCGTAAGTATAATACTGAAAATAAAAATGGAAAACAAAAATTCCTAGTCCTAAATCCAGCCAGACTCGATGAGACTCGATGATCGTTAACCGACGACAGCGTTAGAGCTACAAAATGAATATAAATTAATATGTCTGGTGACTGTCCATGAATATTTTTCTGTTTTATGAACACCCTTATGATGGTTAAAAAATAAACTAAGTAATATTTTATGAATGACTCCCACCATATTTCTTTTTTATTCGCATGCCATATTGTTTTATATCGTTCCATAAAGAATAATGGCGGTTACGTAAAACTGGTTTAGGTATTATTTATTATGTAGTAGGTTTTGCTTCTGTTGGAAACAGATTTTAGTAAATATTACGAAAGTCTACATTAATCACACCAACAACCTGTAAGTGTCTATTACTAACCAAAGACCTCTTCTCGCACGGAGAAGAAGCATTAACCACCACGCTTGTTCAATGCGGGTTGGCTATTTCAGACTTATAATTAGGGATTATAAGCCAAGGTTTCCTAACGATTTCTTCCTTCACCGTTTGTCAATAAATCTTAGAAAGTACATAGATCGGAAAGAGTCATATTGTTGTCTGCCGTTGGTAGGTTTCCAACCCTCATGGATGAGAAGCGGGCGTCTTAAACATTATTAGCTAGTGAATATTTTGGGGTTGACAACTAAACGAATATCAATATCTGTTTGATTTTTTGTCAGTCCAAAAAGGAGGCAATATCCCCTATACTCAACTGACACACACATTTCGCAGTAGGTTTTTCAGTTTATTGTAATGTAATATCGCTTTTTAATATTGAAGTATTTCAGTTCAGACCACCTAGACTTCTAGGCCATCCATCTTCAAAGGCTTACCAAACGTACCTACATGTAGAGGTATACATCAAATACGTATGTACCTTTGAACAGTTGTATTTATTTACATTGCAAACTAACCCTTACATCAAGTATGTTTATCTCCAAAATAGTGCGGCTAGCGTTATCATTACATGGATTTTGGGCCAAAAAAGGGCCACAATGTACAGAAAGGCTAATCCTGGATTACAAATCTGATCCGTAAGTTTCTTTAGATAAAAATCGACGCCAATTTGTGTTGTTCCTTCAAATAAGGGTTTACCAATAGAAATTGATGCAAGTACCTAGTAGTGCCTATTTCCATGCCAAATGGATTCTTATCTTTAACCCTCTGATAATAAAGTGCATTTTGTTTGCTAAAGAATTTTTTGATAACGACATTGTTAGGAAAATTACTTGACTGGCTAAACCTAGTTATTTCTGGCAACAAGCGCTGTTAGTTTATTTCTCATATTCGCTTTTCTATATCTTAGTACAAATAATTTTTATTTCATAAAAGATATGAATGCCAGCGAGCGTGGATATTGTGGCTAGCCTTCCTATACCTTTAAACGTGATCCATAGTCCAGTGAACTATTACGGACGGCTGATGATAATGCCCTGAAGTAAAATTCATTTTTTTATGGCATAAGCCGGTAAACGAGCTGATGGACCACCTAATGGTAAGCAATCGGCGCCGCCCATGGACACCCGAAACACCAGAGGCGTTACAAGTGCGTTACCGGCCTCTTGGAAATAGGGAATTTGAATATTGTAGGGGATCGGGGAAACTGAAAACATTGAGGAAACGCAAGCATTGTTTCACGTCGGTTTTCTGTGAGGCCGTAGTATCACTCCGGTCGAACCGGAAAACTTACGATGCTGTTAATTTAATTGTGTACCGAAAACCAATATTATATTCCTCATTTTTAACCGACACAAAAAAGGAGGTTCTCAATTTGATTTGTATTTATGTTTGTGCGCGATTATGTCGCGATTGGCTGAACCGATTGTGACTTCAGAGAAGGATTTAGTATATAAGCCTTTAACTGCCGATAAAACTGTTAAAGACTAATCCTCCGCTAGCGTCGGACATCATTGTCCAACACGGCATCCAATGTGACGAACTTTAACTTTAAACTTTAACTCGGACTTTAAAAAAAGACGAAAAGAAATAGAAAGTTAACGTCGTTTTCTTAAACGCAGTTTATAAAACTTCTATTCAACAACATCATAACTTAAGTCTTCTTTTGTAACAAAAGGATATCAAAATGCTATTTAATTATAATATTCAGATATTTATATGACATCTCTCTCCGACGCATAAATTGGTATACGCTACTATATCCTTTAAAGTATATTGAGTACTTCAAGAACATTTGAATGATGTACGATGTACCCAATAAATGTCGAGACTATAAAATTACTGTCATATTTAGAGTACCCTTGTAACCCTTACCGAACACATGTCGCTACATTCCGTTTAGACAGACCTTTTAGGGTTAAAAATTGTGAAGTCACTTTATATTTCAGGTAGACCTAACTTAAGTCAACCCCTAACTAGACATGAAAAATGGACTTTACAAAATAATGTAGGTATAAAAGTGGTTTTACTTCGCTATTACATTTTTTGATAGATATTGATGTACGAAAATCTATTGACTGCCTACATAATTATGGACCCTGTACCCAACAGAACCTACTGAACCTACAGAAACACTATGTACTAAAAGTATCCAATCTCAGTAGACAAAACCAGCTTAATAGCCAGATTATGTCCAGTAGTTAGTGAAGGCCTCCCTTAGATAGGGTCATTATCCTCACACTCGGCAGGCAGCTACAGCCTGCTAGGTTATTCTGTAGGTTGTCATCTTTCAAAGTAAACTTGACCGCATTCTCGCCCGTCATTGGTCGAGGTTATTCTCTCAGCCAATGACATGGTGGACTGCGATCGAGTTTACTTCAATCTTCGATCGTCTGAGTGCCTAATGCGAGTTTGCTAAACCTTAACGCGATTAACACGTTTATGACCTTTGGCGGTGTGATTGGTCAGCTCAATGTTAACCAACCAATAAGAGGGCTAAACGCGGTAACATTTGGATCGCATTGACGTAACAATAACTCGCACTTCGAACTCTGATCGCAGTTAGATTGCCGAAATTTTGTAGGATGCTGCCATCCAGTTCTCGTTCGCTAGTCCCATTTTTATAAAGACATTCTTGGTCCTGGTAATTAAAATATTAGTATAGTGTAAATACCTACATTATTATTTATTTATCCTTTAGAGTGGTGGCGGTAAGTGGAACAATAGTAACTATACTATCCTAATGACTCTTGACTTTGGCTAAATGTTAGTCATTATTAGGGTTTAGGCTCCGCTCAGAACATTCAAAGAGAAATTAGATCGATCATTCTGTTTAATGTGTACTCGTATCTATTAACATTAGATTCGATTTACAACACTTGATTACCTCGTAAGGGGCGAAGAGTTAAGTCCATAACATCACGCCTTTTTATCCCCGAAGGGGTGGGGCAGAGGTGCACATAACGGCACTCAATTCCACTGTACAATGTAACACCCACTTTTCACTATTTATGTTATGAGTCCCATGTAATAAGGGTTGAGCCTATTGCCATATACCGAGCAAAATTGCATACTCCGTGCTACTACTGAGTTCTTTTTCGAAAACCCAGAAATGCTATGCCCGACCTGGGAATCGAACCCGAGACCCCTTGCCTAGCAGTCGCACTTGCGACCACTTGGCCAACAAGGCAGTCCAATAAACGTTAAGGTAACGAAGAGTTAAGTCCATTAAAAGCCAAGTAATCTATCCAATAATACTTCTAACTCGACCGGGTACTGCGTAATGTACGCAAAATTGGTTATAAGACCATTAATTTTCCAAAACATTCACAAAATCTTACCAATAAAATAATTGCTATTAATTCAAAATCATAATAAATTCGATGATAATAAAAACAATCGAACGTCACATTTCCTACCAGCCAGTGTTGTCACATTAAAGTAATTTGTGTGTACACAAAATTGTGGCTGCAAATGATATCAATTTTATACCCAGACGATGTACAATCCCTTGCTTTACAATTTCACAAATTGAATTACGAACGAACCATTTGAAACAGCCAATGATTTTCGTTTTGTTCGTTATGTTGTCAAGAATTTTTGGTTTTAC